TCGAATTATCTTTATATATCCGGTCACTACACTCTAAAAAAGAAATTTCTGTTACGGAATCTAAACTGATTTTCCGCGTTTATATCTGCATGAAAAACTTTCTAAAGTTCCGTAATGGATATTGCTTTTTAGAGGGATCTAACTGAGTAGTTACGTTTTTTGTTCGGCAATTGATCACCCATTCGATAGCATACTGATTATGTTGTAACATATTGGCTCTTGTAGTTAGTTAGTATCTATCGGTAGTGCAAGGACTCTATGTCAAATGCTTTAGTATTTCTATCCTTTTCGCAAGTCTTCCGATCGGAAATTTACAAATCCGGGCGCCAAAATCATTCACTGGAATAATGTAGGAAACAGATCAGGCTACTGACGCTGTCACTAGGCAGTGTTTCATACTGAAAAGCAAGAGTATTCTTCCGTTTTATAATACAGAAACGACATCTCGGTGAAGAGACTTCTTGAATTGATATTTAGTTATAGATATATTTTTTCGTTTATTTTAGAAAAGGCGTTGTACATCGTGATCTTAAAAGTGAAAATATTTTAGTTGATCTTGATACAGAAGGCCTCGTATTAATTGATTTTGGTGCCAGTGCCATTTATAAATCTTCAACATCATATTATTCAGATTTTCATGGAACAAAACAGTATAAATCACCAGAATATATTTTGAAAAAACGTTATACAGGTGTATCATCAACTGTATGGACACTTGGTGTATTACTTTATGATATGGTTCGTACGATTTTTTTTCTGGTTCATGTAAAAAAATTTTTTTTTTTAATATATTATTTTATGTAGGTATGTGGTAGTTTACCATTTGAAAGTGAAGAAGAAATAACTGGATATAAACTAGTTCTTAAACCACATCTATCACCAGAACTAAAAAACTTAATACAACGTTGTCTAGCACAAAACCCTGATCGACGACCATCTCTTGAATCGTTACTTGAACATGCTTGGGTGAAAGGTTAATATATATTGAATGGATAAGAAATAAAAAACGCAAAAATATAAAAATAGAATCCGTGTGTATAAATGTCTCGCAATTTCATTTTGTTTTTCTTTCTTTATTCATTAATTATCAACAGTGAGTTTGTGTGTTTGTTTGTTTTTTACAAAGAGAAAATCAATATCTATCCATCTAATTATTCTTCACTGTGGTTGTAGTCGTTTGTTTCTTTCTTCTTGTGCAGCCCGCATTTATTTTTTTGTTTCAAAAGTGGGCTATGCTCCCATCTTTCATCTCCTAGATTTATCAGGAACTATTTCTTCTTGCTTCCATGTAGGCAAATTAGTGTACGTGTGCGTGTGTGGTCTCTCAGTGATAACTGTTCAATAAATTGCTCGCGTACACGTCATATATCTATCATATGTTTTTTTTTCTTTCTTTCTTTTTGGATGAGTTAGACTGTGTAGTAGATTAGACGAATGTGCGATTGTTCATTCATTCATTCATTCATTTCTTTTTTTTTCTTTTTTTGAATATATACAGAAAAAAGTGCTGCACTTTGTTTTTTGTGTCTTCTTGCTTATTGTTCAAATCAAATGTCTGATAATTCTTTGCACACGAAAAAAAAAATATCTTGTCTGTTGTTTTGTTTTTGATACCTCTGTGACGAAAAAAAAAAGAAGAAAAAACAAAAATCTCAAATTGTTTAATAATATTTGTGTGTGTATGTGTGGATGAACTGATGTCATTTCTTTTTTCTTTGTTTGATTTGTATCGTCTTCATTGGTTGTCGGCTATATCTGGTGTTAATCTTTTTCTTTTTTCTTTTTTTGAAAAACAAACGAGAAAACGATGAAACTTATTATTTCTTGTCTCTGTTTTTTCTTTAACTATTTGTCTTTGATCGATTCTGATGAATAAAAGCAAAATATGTAGTTATATTCAAATATTTTTTCATTGAAAAATAGAAGACTATAGCTATAATATAGATTGTGTAGTGCTATTTAAACTGAAGATAAGTCATTTTTAAGAGAAATCTATTTATTCAGAATGAGTTTTTGATGAATATAAGAATAGGAATAAGTATACTTGATTATTAAGATTTTCTTAGCGAGTTCAAGTACATCGTATAGTGATGGATAAATGTTTACGGAAACTGAATTTTTAAGTTTGCTTTTCGATGGCAATAGCTGGCAAGAATCTGAAAAAAAAAAACATTTTTATAGCTAAAATGACTTACTTTTGTGATTGGTAGAACCGAAGACTTGAGCAAAACTGCTAGAATGAGAGTGTGTGGAAGATCAAAGCCCCTCGAAGTAACTTTCTAGCTTTTATTCAAAACTTTTGGGAAAAGATTTTATTTGATAGAGTAAGATGAGACGTATCTTATCTTTCCATACACTTTTTTCGTCGAATTGCATTCAATTTACAGAAGACTTTAAAGTGTCAAACATGTCAAAAACATTGAAATTATCATAAAAAGAAGAGAATAATGTTTCTTAGGCCTTCTGTAGATTGAATAAAGTGGAGTGAAGGAAGGCTTTGGATATCTCATTTGACTCTATCAAATAAAACATTTTCATAACAACTTCGAATGGAAATCAGAAAGCTGGTTTTAGGGGTCTTAGTTTTCACAGATCGCCATCCATGCAGTTTTTTGGGAATGTTCGAATCTACGAACTCTAATAGAGTATCTTTTTAGCTACACAATTGTTCTTTCAGATTCTTGCTAGCAATTACGATCAAGAAAAATACTTAAAAATACAATTGCTGTAAACTTATGTTTGTCAATGTATATGTGTTCGTAATAATAAATTTCACATAGTTGCCAGTTGAGCTACATTTTGTATTTTGATTTAACCTAGACTATGCAAAGTCAAAGTATTTTATTGATGTCACGTAGAAACAACAATACAGTGTAATCTTATTTAAATTGAATGATTTTGGTGAAGAATTTATCGTCGACAATTACAAAGAAAAAAGTTCATAGACGAAAAAGATTAAAACTATGCTTAATAATAGGGCGTCTGAACAATTATAAGAGATCTTTTCATTTTGAACACGTTTAATGTCTAACGAAAAAATCTGTCCTAAGAATGGCATTTAATTGCTCTTTTTTTTCATAGAAGAAGTATACTTAGGTATGGCAAACAATGGACACATTCACATTTGATTTATAGTAGTCACGGAAGGTCCTATTAACAGATAAAATGTACCTAAATTTGAATCTCTTTGGCTGATATTTTTATAAGAAACAGAGTTCGAAGAACCTTGATCGCCGCAGGTTGATCTGTCTTAATGTGTTGAATTCAGAAAAAATGTACACTATTTTTCTTCTTGGACCTTAGAAAAAGCTTTTTGACACATTTCTGGTGTAGCAATTTTTTTGAAATATTATTTTCTATCGTTTTCTTGACAAATAAAACTTCTCACGTCATTACTGTGTCACAAATAACAGACTTCAATCTATAGTGATTCTCAGATGCACTGGTGTTTCAATCATTTGGGATAGCTATCACATAGACCTTTGCTTTACAATAACTATAATCATGATATTTCTAGGACAAATAATTGAATATATTCGAAATTATAGGTTATATATTTTGACGAATTTCATCAAATCTCATGCTAAGAATACTAAAAGTTTACATCATAAGTCAAACAAATTCCAATTGCTTAATGTGAAATTTTTATTAATGAAAAAGGCAGTACTGAACTCTCGAATGAAGTGTCTTACGCTATAAAATTTCCGGTTAATTCTGAAATTATTCTTGTCTAAGTAAGAAAATCTATGTTGGCCTTGTAGCTAATTCACTTGAAGATCGAGCAAAATCAGACCCCTGCTTACAATATATAATCGTCGCGCTCTATTTGTCATCAATATATACAACTAAAGGATTCATGTTTCAATGTTTTTTACCTACTTTCTTGAGCGTCAACGACAACTACAAATAACATACATACCTACCTTCATTGTTGATATGTTTTTGTTTAATCACTAAAAACAATAGCATTTGAATAAACTCTAGCATGAACATTAATTAGGATTTACAGTTATCATTTCTAATTAAAAATATGAACTAGATGAATAAAGTAAACGCTTCATAAACAAGTTTATATATGAAAATATGTACATTATCTATCAAGGAAAAGTTTGGATTACGAAAATTTCAGTAAATTAATTTGTACGGCAACAGATTTATTATCATTCAGAATCTAAAGAAATAATTCTGATATAAAAACATCTAAACTTTCCATGTCGTATTCAAATTTGTAACACATTTATTAGTACAAATCATCATTGAATAAAATTGCAACTATTCTTAATAAATATAATCTCTTAACTATTATATTCATCATGATAAATTCAAAATAATTTTCGTACATTTCCATCTCATCAAAATCAATAAAAGATATTACATAGAGCATTTCAGTTGAATGATGACGATATTAGACAAGATATGTAAATATATATTCGTAAATTGAAATGATTAATAGTTAATTATTGTATTTATCCTTGGTTCATATTCATTGTCAATTACATTTATATGTTGATGATTATCTAATGAATTAAGATGACACTATTTTACAAATAAGTCTACCATTGAAAATAATTTTTTTGTATTTTTTTAAACAACATTACAGTCTTTATGAAGTAGTTAGAGAATGCAAAACTGCTTCTCAAATAATTAAAGACAATGACGTCAAGGACTCATCCATTGGACGAAGGTAACTTTTTTCTGACGAACTATAACTGCGTTGATTGCTGTGAGCATGAAGCGTGACGTTGAGTCATCATAGTACACTCTTAAGTTGTCTTACAGATGCGACAGAAAGGTACAGAGCAACAGAGAACGCAGTTTTTCATGTTTTTTCTATGTATATATTACATTAAGCAAAAGAATAAGAAAAGAAACGAAAAAAAAGTTATACTGTTGATCATGTGAAGTACAAAATCGATTGACGATGTTATTCATTTAAAAGGAACCTACCTTTTGACGAGCGTGTTAGTGTATTGATTTATAATTGTCGACTTCAAATCAACATGGCTCAATGTTTTAATCCTAGAACTCAAAGAATTGAATATTGTTCATCTCGTTTATCGTCTTATATGTAAGGCAATTCAGATTCAACAAAAAAATAAAATAAACGCTTTCTTGTTGTCGTTTTCTATTCTAGTGCTTTGGGAATTATAATACCATCATGCCTTTTGTTAATTATCGTACTTGTGTATATGTATATTCGATATAGACAAAAGCAATTAAGAAGACGTATGAAAAAGACGGAAATTTGAAGTTTTTATTTGTTTCTTTTTCTTCTAGAACAACAGCAATGTGATATGACAATTATTATTCCAATCGATAATAATGATGGACGTCAACAACCACCATATAATTTTTCACATCCACCTCGTTATACATCTGTATCAGACGACATGTTTAGTAAACCACCATCTTACGAACAAACTGTACACCAACTACTGGAGACTGCTGATAATAATGATAATTCAACAGAAAATCCTCCTACAACTTTTCCAGTTACAGCAACGATAACATCATCAAATAGATCGGTAGAATCGACAAGAAATCAATATTAATCTTACGTCTTTCGTGAAATAATAATACATCATTTTTACATTTTTACTGATTCTTAATATTAAGCGAACATTGTTAAAGTGCGACATCTTAGATTATATTTTTATTTTTTATGGTGCGCAATTTGTTAACGCACAAACTATTGTAAAATTAAGTTTTATCTGAAATTTTTTTTGTAAAATCTTTTAAGTCTATTTCTCTCATCCATTTTTTTCTCAAGCAGAGGTCATTCCATATTTTACCATCAAATCTAACATTAGCGAATCGTTGTTCAAGGGAGAAAAAATAAATAAATAAACAAGTCTTCCTTGTATTGACTTTCTTGTTCGAATTCTTTTAACAATAAAAGAAAAACAGAAAGAAACATGATGTCTATTTGTCAGTTCATGGTTAAAATAAATAAAAATATTCTATTCCTTATTAGTTAGAAGATTACGAAATTCTATTGAATAATCCATCAGTTACATTGTAGATATTATCTCTTTCATTGAGCATCACGCAAATAAAAAGATCACATCGTAAACAATTGTCAACTGCATGTATTAAAGTATATTAATACTAACAAATTCTCTTGTTATTGTTGTTATTGTCGCCTCATTAAGGCGTTCGATCTGATCAAATATAATTCATTTTAATAAACACAAATGAACGATCTCAGTGTTGAAGTAGGACATCCAAATGGAGCCTATTACAAAGTAAGTTATTGTATATTGTTTTTTACAAATAAAACAATTTTATATAGGCATATGTGCATGATGTGGATGCAACTGGTATTGATGTCAAATATGATCAAGAGTAATTAATTAAATATTACATTATAATAAAATAATTACTATTGTTTTTTTTTAGTTTCTTCCCTCCAACAAAAATTCCCTTTTCTGAAAATCGTGTTCGACTTCCACCTGAATCCGTTGATCTGAAAAAATTATCGCCTGGCGATCCATGCGAAGTATGAATAACAATTCATATATTAAAGCATTGAGATATATATGTATATAAAAATATTCTTTAGGTACTTTCAAAAGCAAAAGAAGATGAACCACTTGGTTGGTGGCCAGCTACTGCAAAAATGTTTAAAGGCGATTTTTTCGTTGTTGATTATAAAGTCAGTGCTCAAGGCGCTAGCTATTCGGATATTATATCTAGTGATAAAATTCGTTGTCCAAATACAAAGTATATTTTATAAATAAATATTAACAATTAATATTAAATATTGATTTGCTTTTAGTCCTCCGATTACTTATTCAATGTTTAAACGTATAGAATTACCTGTTCCTAAAGAGATTCAAGAAGCGTAAATTTTATTTTATTTTTGAAAATAATTAAATTCTTGTTTTTTTTTTCGTTCTATCTTCATAGATGTAATAATCCAGCTAATCATAAAGATTTTAAACGAACAACTGGTGCTACAATTGTTCGATATGACAAACAAAATGCATGTCTTGTGGTCATTGTAAGTTGAACTTTTTGCTTATTATTATTTCTTATATTTCTTTTTTCTGCGTTTTATTTAGTCAGAAAATGATAGTACTCTTCGTCGTGCTCAAATATTATCGGAAATGCATTTTCGAAATTTACGTTCAAAAGCCAAACTTGTACAAGAAACTGAAAAAGTTTCAAAACAACTTGAAGTAACATAGAACAATTCATATTAATATATTTTGAAGAAAATTCTTCTTTTCTTTTGCTCTTTCTTTCTATAGCGAATTATGGTTAATCAAACATCAAAATTTTTTGAAAAATTTACTGTAAAAACTGAGTTAATGGGTCTTGCCATTGGTTCACATGGATCTAATATAATAAAAGCACGCGAAGTACCCGGTATAACAGCAATTGAAGTTGAAGATGATACTTGTACTATTAAAGTATTTGGCGATGTAAGTAACTTTGTGAAACATGATTTAAAAGGTGTGTTGAAATATATAGAATAGAAATTAGCACCTCTCCTCCTCCCCTAGATCCTGACAAGCGTGCTCCAGAGAACATAAAAAACTATAGTAGATGCTCTGCAGAGACTATGACAGACACTCCCCAGAGATCGTAACACACGCTTCTCAGAGGACGTAACAAACGCTAGCCAGAAATTATCAGGGACTGCAACAGACACTAGCTAGAGATCATTACAAAACCTTGACAGATGTTATTGGTTTACGATGGCAGACCGTATATCAATAGCAGCTCATTACAATATATTAACTACTTCCCTTTTGAATTTCTGGAAGATTAAGTAAAAGAAGAGTGAAGAAATATATCCCAAGATGCATAGAACAGAATAATCTTCCTGTGATTAGCAACATCCTGTTTCACATTTTAATCTCGCTGTGATTGGATTATTTTGCTAATGGTCGAAAATAGATAAGAAAAAAATGTTTGTTTTTTCTTCAGACTGAAAAAGCTGTTAAAGAAGCACGTAGTATACTTGAATATACTGAAGATGTGGTATCCATTCCACGAGACCTTATTGGTAAGAAGTCATGCAAAAAGATAATTAAAATAAATTTGAATATTTTTTTTTTAGGAAAAGTTATTGGTAAAAAAGGTCATATTATTCAAGAAATAGTTGATAAAAGTGGTGTGGTTCGTGTTAAAATTGAAGGAGATAATGAACAAACACCATCACGTGATGAAAATAGTCATCCTGTATGTTTTGATAATTGAAACAAAGAAAATATTTATAAAAAGAATTTTGTTTTTGTATTTTGATAGAGTCAAGTTCCGTTTATATTTGTTGGTACAGCTGAAAGTATAGCCAATGCTCGAGTCTTACTTGATTATCATTTGGCTTGTTTAAAAGTATATATACATATATATCTGTTAACAAATTTAGATAAATCAAACATTTTTTCTTTGCAAAGGAATTCGATGAATTGCAAGAGAAAAAAATTCAAGTTAATGAACAATTTCGTACTATTGCTGGTCCACAGCAAGGAACTGGAATGAACGTAGCTAGTAATATGGGTTATCCAAGTGGACGACATCAACGGTAAGCAAAAAAAAGCAATCAGAGAACTTTAAAATTTATGTCATGTAACTTAATGTAAATTATTTGATTCTAAGCGCCCTCCTCACACTCATCAAAAGTTCATTTCCGCCAGAATCATCGAACTTAAGATAAATGCATGAAAGAATAGATTGAGATTGGATTTTTCATAAATAAATATCATTATTCTCAAAGGAACTTCAATACAACCAATTGCTTCTTTCTTTTTATTTGAGAGAGCTGATAAAACTTCAGTACTCATCTGTTGATTTAAAAACCCACGCCCATAAATAGATGGTTATTATTCGAGACATTGAACTTCTCATTCTTTTTCTCCTCATAAAAAGTAAGAAAATAAAAAAGCCTCTGTCAGATATTGCAGTCTAACATTTTTTTACCCTTGCTAGATGAATGTCTCCCGAAAACGTCATGGTATAGGATTGACAATTTCATGCGATTTTACTATTCTTGGCCCAAGATCCATTTTGTGAAACACGGTCTAAAATGAATGTGCAAGTATAGGGGCAAAAATTTGGATCCCTTCGTTTTCTCCAAACACTCTAGTAAAGACTCGTCATAGACGTGACAAACATAATTGCAAGATTCAAGCTCACTGCCGGATTCGTATGATAGTTGTCTGTTACTTTTCTTTCACATTCACTGCAATATGTTGCCATTAAACCCTTGACGATGAAGCTGAAATATAGTAAATCAGATCTTTGCAATATTTGTTGCGTTCTAACATCGATGCCTTTGGTAACAGCATTACATCTTCAATGAAGTCTAGTGAAGAAAGGTCCCTAGTGATATATCACTTTTAATTTGGGAATATTCAATCAATAGAATTTAGTCACTAGGTAAATACCCTAGAGTGCTTCGAGCTGTTGGGCCTTTATGGCTGAGATATCGAACTTTTTATGAATTTTTCTTGTAGAGCTCTAGTCGTTCAGGAGAATTCTACTTTTAAATTTTAACGTTAAACTTTGGTCACATAATGATTTCAATTAGACTATCTTGTAGAAAAAAAGAAATATTATTTAAATACTCATATCTTGGAGAGACTTTGTTAAATCAAACAGGCCTAGTAGAGACCTTTATGCATGGAAAAGCTCAGATCAAATCGAATATTATGGCTTGCTTGAAAACTGGGATCCTGCAATAAAAGTCTACTGAAAATTCGATATTGCTGCAACGAAGGTCGAACAATTCGTACCATTCTAAGATTTTTACCTACTTACTTGGCTCTATCGATTGAATACAATTTCAGCTTAAAAGCAATTTATCATTTGGAGACCTTCCTTCGTAAATTTAAGAATTATGATTGTCAATCATTTTCAAAGTATACCATGTTAACTATGAATTTTTACTGCATTGGTTATAAAAATAAGTTTATTGCTGAAATGTTAATATGTTTCATCGTCGGCATACATTGACAGTAGCTAGAAATTGCTAAACAGAAACATATTGATTAATCTCTTCGTTGACAATATTAATAGCTACATTGTATTTCATATTTTAATCACAAAGATATTTCGCTAATCGCTTTTTGAAGGCGAAAAGGCCTTAAAAAGATTTCACATCATGGAAGTATATCACATGAAGTCTTGATTTCCGTAATATTCTATCTCTTGTTTTCATATACTTATCTTTCGAATGTACCAATTTATGTTAACATGAGATTTATCAATTGCTGAAACTTTAATTTTTCTATTCTCTCAATTTCAGTTATGAATTTGATCGAACGAGTAACACTGGTAATGTACGAAATTATCGTGATACAGGTTATCAACAACAATATCCTCAACAACAACGTGCTGATAATTATAATAATCAACAATCACGTCGATCAGCCAATTTTGCTGGTGGTAATAGTAGTCGTGGACGTCGAGGTGCTGCTAATAATTCATATCGTGGTGGTACACATAGTGATGCTGGCACTGGTGGTAAGTTTTAATCTAAAAAATATTATTTCGATAGATATTGTCCCGCATGAGAAATAAGGATAATCATATTTATCTTCACAGACGAAGCAAGCGAGTGTGGTGATGCAGCGTCATCGTCGGTTAGTACCAGTCGAAAACATCGTGACTGGTCAGCACAGGTCGATAGTGAACAACAACAAGAGGCTGGCTACAGTACAGACAGTATGATACATTCGGCTACACTACCCAGAGGTGCTGGTGGACGAGGTGGTCGACGTGGTTGGAAACGTGGTCGACCACCATTACCTATTCATGAAGGTGTGCATATGAATAAAGTCTGCTATTTTCATTTGTTTTTAACATTTTTTGATACATAACCAGATAATCGATCGCATGTTTCTAAACACAACACTTTTTAATAACATAAGCATGTTTGCTGTATTTTAACGAAAATTTACAAAACTTCGATACTAACTTTTAATTCTTGGTTTCTTTTTAGGTTATGGTGATCGTCGTCGAAATAATGACAATGAAAATACTACATTTGATACGCAAGAAATAAATGGTTATTAAATTTTTAAAATTTATTTTAATATTTCATTTATTCTTTTTATTTTTTAGAGGGTCACCAACAGTATAATGATCAACATTCATCACAACGTTATCGGTATGGTGGTCCTCGTAGTAATCGTGGTAGTTTTCGATATAACAATAACAATGCAAATGAATATTATGAAGAGAATTATAATAGCAGTGGACAATTACAACAAATGTCAACAAAAAAATCTCAACAAACTTCGTCGAATAATGGAATTGATACAAATACTGTAACAACATCAGAAACAATAAATGGTGGTGGTGGTGGATCGAAAGGTCAACGAGCGTCAAAACAACAGAGTAATGGTGTCAAATAAAGATTTGTTCAGAATAGGAAAAGTTAAAGGCAATTCACATGCTCGATTTCGTTTTTTTTTATTATTATTCTTGTCACCTATGTGTGTGCGTGTGTGTGGTTTCTTTTGTTTTCCTGGTTGCTGCTTTCTCATGTTTTGTACATGCTTTTATTCGTCGGCTTGATTTCATCGTTATAAACGGAGTAAACATAATGACTAAATCAACATCTGTCTTCCAGCAACCAAATTATTAACAAAGGAAAAATCGCTCGTCTTCTTTTGTGATCCTTATCCTTTGACGTGTATGTTTCTTATATTCTTCTGTTCATTTTTCTTCTTTGTCCTCTAAAATCTAAACTCGTTTTTCTTTCCTACTACTGATGACGTTAATCATGTGTAAGTGTTTGTCTATATGTCGATTGTATTGCACCAGCGAACAATATGCATCGTCACATACATGAGAATCAAGAAAACTTCATTTGTTGTGTTCGTTTCTCTTTCTTTTTTTTGCTCTTGCGTTTTTTTTCATTGCTCTTTTTTTTCTTCTTTTTCGCTAAAAAAAACCAAGTATTAAAGACATACGAGATGGTGACATAGACAGAATGTATAAGTTCATAATATGTTTTCAATGATAAACAAAAGAAAAAAGGAAAGAGAATATAGATGATTATTTATTTAAACCATTGACGAAGAATGAAAGCTGAAGTAGGATTCAACAGGAATAATCTCGAATTCTCATTCGTAATAAACATTTTTTAATATGAATAATCGGTATGTATATATTATATTGCACTTAGATGTTCTTTTATCAAATATATCGGTTTGTAAAACGTATGGTATGGGTCATATTTTTGTATCACGTGACTCTTACAATCACGCGATAATGTAAACGAGTGAAAATAATCAAGAGAAAAAAGGCCTAAGTTTTATTTTTATGGTAGAAGATACATATGTATTCCGTTTATATTTGTGTTATGCTTGTTAAAAGATTGTGAAAAAAGAGGAGGAAAAGAAAAAGTAGTTTTAAATGTTCCTGTGGACTGAATTCTTTCAAGTCCGCGTACGCTTCTCTCTATAAAAAAGGAGAATCATGTATCTTTCTGTATTCTAACTTCAACTCAGCCGACAACGATATAACTACACGTGCTTTGCTCCTGTTCGTTATAATTGACTTTGTCTATGAGTTTAAACGGTGGTGATCCACGTACATATAAAAGTAAGATGTTATACAGAGTATTCTTTGTTGTTTTAATATTGTACGTAATATTTCTAGAAATTCAGGATGATAACAATGGTGCTAATAATCAAAATGAATCATCAACATCAAATAATCAAAATATGAATGATACGAATAATTGTGCGAATCAAACAGATTCATCAACGTCAAGTACTAATTCATCATCGCAAATAACAAATAATACCAATTCATCTAATCGATCATCAAATGATCATGGTAAAACATGCTAAATGATTTCTTCAAAAACTCCTATCAATTACAAATCAAAATCAGTGCATCTTTCAGTATGCCTTATATAGAATACTTTCATGTCTTGATTTTTATTGTTTGTTCAATTTTATATTATTTAAATATAAACAATTGTTTTTAAGACCAATGTTTTTTTTCTTTCATATTCATTATAGAAGTAGTTCGAGATTAGAGGATAATCATTATCATGTCAAAGACAACATGTTTATTAAATTAAAAAGACAAAGAAATGTTATTTCACATTATGAAAAATTCAATTATCATCTGTTGACATTTTGTTATTTCTTTATTTCTAACGAGTGATTTAAATCTTCAAAATTCTAGAATGTTTTTGTGATTGGTTGACTTTTTGTGGACGGTTTTTCTTTAGAGTTAAATAAGTAACAGTTGCTGCTGGTTTAAGTAAATGATAGAATATTTAACAAGCACTGTACGAGAAATTGTTGAGACAGGTTTTTCATTCTGTACTTAATTTCAACAATTACAAATCTGCTATAGTTGGTCTATGTTATCATCTGGGAAAAGAATGCTAATAACGATTTTATATCAATGATTAAACGGCAGATTCATTATTGTATTACTTATCAATTCAACTTTCTAGATTGATAGAGATCTCTTAAATTTAATTCGATGACAAAAAAAAAGTTTTTATAAAGAAGATCTGTAATAATATTTATTTGCCATCTTAATAATTTTCAGTGAATTCATATCAATTAGTCATTGATCATAGAATACTAATCTATACTAATTGAAATTTATCTAAGTATTTTTGTAATCAAATCCATATTAACTATTTTGGGATAAAATTACAATCTCTGACATTGCTCAAGTATTCTTATATAAATAAACAATAAATATAGACCTATCATGTAAAAGACCTGCTGTAAAGAATAATGTCTGCAAATTTGTTTCCTTTTTTTTGTAATCATCATTAAACGATATTCATAAGAATATTTCAAACAAAATATTTACGCAATATCTTTTTTTTCTCTTGAAATGACCTCACAACGTAAGCAAAAGATGATAGACAAAAATATTTGAATTATGCGTGATACTCGTATTCTTCGCATTAGAAAATAGCAAGAGATACAAAAAAGCCAATCCTCTTTTATATCTTCATTATTTTCTACTAAAAGGAGGAGCCAAATTTGACTCTTCACGATCTGTTAATAATATATCAGACAATGAAATATTATGTTTTGCGATGACAAAAATTGTGCGTGCAAATTCTGAAGTCATGCGTAATTAAACTCATGAAAAACAATAGATCATATTGTCTAGGTGCCATCCTTGACAAGAACATTAGTTTTCATTACAATTACCTATTTTATGAATAAGAATTTAGTGATTATTCTTTTCACCCTTATCTTCTAAACAATAATAGATTCATAAAATCTCAATTACATCTAAATCAGTAATAGACCAAATTAGATAAGATTTTTAGATGCTCAAACATTAATATATTCATCTGACAAGACTTAAAAAATATTGAAAGGTATATTCATATTCCAAATAGCTGCTTCGAACAGCGAAAGGAAGCAACCTCTCGTCGGATTTTCAAGACAAACGTCACGTTACTTTACAATACGGCAGTCAGTAGCTATAACTGTGCACTATTTCATGAACAAACAATATCCTTTTCTAACAATGTCTGAATTGTATATCACAATACCTAGTTAGTGATAATATCTAATAGTAAGATGCATTCATTGACCGACATCAGTAAGTCAAGTCATAGTTGATTTTAGAGTTTTCAAAAACAATGTTAACAACTGATCAATCACCATCGATTCCACGTGATGACAACGAAGAAAAAAATTATAATAAAATGTACGTTTTGTTTTTCATGGAAATAGATTTTCAACCTGTATGCAATTTTGTTGTAGTTATTTGATTTTACTATTTTTGTTAATAGTTAAAAATAAAGTAGTATCGAATAAAAGAAAAGTCTTGTTGGTGTATAGCAAACACTTCATTTAGATCGCATGAATTCAAGAACATAATAATTTCACTAGTGAAACTTCTCTTGTCGCATCAACCACGATTTGTTCTACATAGATATCGTCAGAAAGTCGAGATCTTTTTCTTTCCAATCAAGAATCTTGACTGACCGTTAAGAAAAACTGCAACAACGTTTATTAGTGTATCGTGGAAAATATTTTGTTTTTTGCCAGTGGAGATGATATTTGTTTTTTGGAATTCCGTCAGAAGAAAAATATTCTCGCTTTCCAAAAAGATGAGACAACCTTCAATGTTCTTTGATTCAGGCTATCACTGTATAATTCTTATGGCAAATATTTTTCGCACCTAATATGTTTTCAAAATGTGCTAAATAGTTCTTCTAGAAATGAAAAATTGCTTAGCTAACGAAATCCTCCTCAAAGAAGTGAATTTTCGTTAGACTTATCGAAATGAAGATAAACATATGAAAAGAAAGCTCGATAGACATGATTTTTTATTTGACATTTCATTTCTTTTCGAAAATATTTCGATGACTCTCTGTTATCACTTAAGTGAAATATTTGTTGTTTTCAGAAAAAGTAGGGAATCTTTTTCGTTTTTTATGTTTATGCTATTTGTGATCGTGCTTCCCAATATTCTCCAGGAAGCTGCATTGTAGACAATAGGGTTGGTTATGTTTGAAAGAGCATGTCAAGATGCAAGTCATGACTGTTTTTACTATTATATAGAAAAGTACTTTTACAATTAGAGCGCCATTTTTTTTAGAGTTTTTCAAGACACTCAATTTGTCATCCATTTTTTCTACTTAAAAAGTAAGAATTTAAAAAAAAATACAGTTCTGTCATGCCTTGCATCTTGACATGCCCTTTGAAACAAAAAAGAGATTAAGTATATACAATCAAGGCCTACGGAGAATTTCAAATTGTCAAATGAGTTGTTTTTTTACCCTTGTTTGTTGAATATTTTCTGAAAACATCATGATATAATGCTGAAATTTTTAATATAGTTTTTCCGGTATAGCCCTAACATATTCTGAAATTTCATGAGACTTGAATATACGCAGTTCAAGATCGATTTTTGAAAGATAAGACCTTAATCAATCGTTAACTTCTCCATCATTCTTTATTAGATATATTACTCAACCGATTCAATCTCATTTTTCAGTCTAGGGATTCACATTGAGCATTATTATTCATAGATTATGAGTTATTTTTTTGAAATGAGCTTTATCCTGTTGAAAAAGTATCAATTTTCTTTTTTGATTTGTTTACATGTGAAGACATAATGTTTTATTTGACCAAGAAACGCCCACTATTATGGAGAAGAAAATTCTTGATCTTTTTTTCTTGTCTACAAATTCGAATTCTGAGCATGTTCTTTATTTAAATGTAATAATTGATAATTGTTTGATTGTAATTAATTACATTCGAATATTGAAAAAAAGATTTTGTAGTACATTTTTTTCTCGAACTTTTTGACAGGGATTAATTCGCATTTTATCTTTCTAAATACGTATTCATTATGACTGAGAAACTATGTAATACATATCCTTGATTCAAATTTTTGTATAGACATTCGTGAGAATTTATTATTTTTCTTAACACGATTCATAGTATTTCGTATTGATAATATTATCATATACATTTACATAAGTTTGAATATTTTTACGAAATAATATTTAAACATTGTTGAAATAATTTCTAATGGAATCTGGTAGAAAACAATGTTAAAAAAAATTATATGTAATCAAAATTCAAAAAATAATTAAAATTGAATTTTTATCTTATATTTCAATTACACTAAGATTTCATTCTAATCTTCCTAACGCAGTCTTTTATAATTAATTACATAAATACGAGAAAAACTTGAATTTATTATCTATCGTAATGTTTATTTTTCTTTACATGAGTACTAATCAGCGAGTTCTTTAAGGATTTTTTTTATGGATTGTATTCAATAACATTTCATGTATGCTTGTATGACATAAACTATATAAAATATTTCTAATTTGTATATAAAAAAGTTTTTGACTCCATGTCTGTTCTATCCAGCATCAATTTATGAATCATTACAAAGAATCAAAAGAAACTGACTGAAATGAGAATTTCACGCTTGTTTTAAACATATACTTAGAATAGTGGCGACTTCAAGGATAGGCTCATTAACAAAATTCCCCAACTGATAAATTACTTTTGAGATATGAATTTGTGTATTATGCAAATTCAAATGAGTTTTAAATGTCCTGAAAAGATTTTATGCTCTTAGTTTATCGCTGCGAAGATATTGCAAATTTACAGGTGTTTCTGAATGCATGCCATGGTAGTTGAAAAACTAAGTTTCGAATTTTGACTAGAGATTTTGCATAGAGACAGGCTTTCATGAGAATTATTTCAAATATTTTGATTTACTTCCACCTTGAAATAAGAATCTCAAATCTATTGGTGTACATGAGCGATGTAAGAGATACAGTTTTATCATAGTTGTATATGAAGATAGCTACAACCACAAGATCTGAAACACTCACAAGAAATTATTTCCATTAATGCCGATCTGTATACAAAGTTTCGAGTCGAAAATTAGTTTATCTGTAACCGCAGCATTCATTTAAAAATTCCCGTAAATTTACAGCGTCTCTGCAGTAATACACTAAGAACATAAACTCTTTTCCGGATATTCATAGCTCATTCGGGTCTACCTCTTACAAATTGTCTCAACTTGAAAGAAAATTGTTATTTGTTCACATCCTAAGCTGAAATACTGTATCCTTCACTAATTTAAAAGCTTTATTTTCTAATGTAAAATTCATTCATTTAAAGCAAGTATTTGACTATCTCCAAAGTATTGTTCAGAAAAGTTATAAATGACAGAACTAATTGCAAACAATATTCTTGATTTATTCAAATATTTGCTTACATCGAATCAGCTATAAGTTAGAAAAAAATTCCTGATTCTTACGAGTAATTTATAAATATATAAAAAAATCGAACAGAATATTTTGCAAAGACTTTACACACAAGTTAGTTTATGCAAAAAATTATCTATTAAATTGATTTTGGGATAAAATCGTCTTCAAATTTAGCCGCTTTATTCATATAATTTCGACACATATTCTATCGCAATTGAAGCAAATATCATATTTTCATGTTTATTTATTTGTAAGAGCAAAAATCTTTTCTTAGTAGCAGATTAAAATAAAATTTTTCTCGTTTGAATTACTATTTTCTTCCTTTGATATATTCAACTTATTACTTATGAATAAACTCAAATCATTGGTACATTTTCATGTTTAGCTTAAGGAATAGCATAAAACTCTTTGAAATTATCTATAAACTTCTTTTCTTCTATTATTTGTTGTTTCTTTTGTTTTTTTATTTTAAATTCTTGTTTTTAATCTCTTTTTTTTTAACGATGATAAATAACAAGATCAAAAACAATGAAAATCTTATCATAGATTTTAAGCTTTCTTTTTCGATACACCAACAGTGCGACCTCGTCGACCAGTTGTTTTGGTATGTTGACCACGTACACGTAAGTTCCAATAATGACGAAGACCACGATGAACACGAATTTTTTTCATACGTTCTAAATCTTCACGAACTTTTGTATCAAGACTGTTGGATGTTGCTTGTGAATATTTGCCATCTTTTATATCTTTTTGACGATTGAGAAACCAATCAGGAATTTTATATTGTCTTGGATTGGTAATAATTGTTACAATACGTTCAACTTCTTCTTCCGATAATTCACCAGCACGTTTGGTTCCGTCAACATCAGCCTTTCGGATAACAACGTGTGCAAAACGACGGCCAACACCTTTGATTGCTGTTAAAGCATAACCAACTTTTCGACGACCGTCAATGTTCGTGTTAAGTACACGAAGAATATGTTGAAATTTTTCAGGTTGAATTAATGGTGATGACATGTCGTATGGAGATATTTAAAATCTAAAACAAAAAAGAAACTATATATGTATAGATATATTAAATGTTCGGTGAAGAAAATATTGGAGTTTAACTATGTGAAACAATCATTGGATGAATATCGATAGGTTAAAAAATAAACAAGTAAACAAGAATATTCATTTACTATACGCACCCATTTATCAAATTATTTTATTAAATAATCTTATAAAGAAAAT